ATTGGTCTATTATTCTATACAAAACTACGAATTCCAACAACGAATTTCGACCTGTTATCCCAGCTAGTTAAATTAGATTAAAGATATCCTGCAGGAGCTCCATGACAGCCCTTTAGCTTCTCATGCTGGTATTCGAAAAACTATCCAACGCGTACGCGAGGCAGTCTACTTTCCTGAACTGCAAAAGTTAACAAGGGCGTATGTCCAGTCCTGCCCAACATGTCAAGCAGTTAATTATATTAATTTCCGCCCGGCCGGGTTTCTAAATAGTATTAAATCCGAATTTCCAAATGAAATAATTGGCATCGATTTATTGGGCCCTTTCCCAAAAAGTCAGTTAAAATAAAAGTCGCTATCTCCTTGTTATGGTTGATCATTTTAGTAAATGGACCGAAATTGTTCCCTTAAAACGAACCTCCGCGAAATTAGTTACTGATTCTATTTTAAATAAATATATTTTAAAAAATACGGGGCGCCCCTAAAAGTTATATCGGATAATGGTCCTCAATTTGTAAGTAATATATTTGAAGACATGTGCCAAAAACTGGGCATACGTCATTTAAAAAATGGTCCCGTATCGGCCGCAATCAAATATAGCGGAACGGGTCAATAGAAATATAGTGAAAATTATCCGTAGTTATGTTAAAAATTTTCATAAAAGCTGGGATAACTATGTCAATGAATTTGCTTTCGCCCTTAGGACCGCAAAACATGATACAACGGGCAAAACTCCTGCTGAGTTATTTCTAGGCAGAAAGATTATAACACCGTTAGATAAATTATTTTATGTGCAACAAAGAGCCCCAGAATTTAAAATGGGTTTTATAGAAAAACTAATAAAAGAAGCAAAAAAGAATACGGAAGTAGCACAAAGAAAACAGAAGCTATATTATGATTTCTTGAAACGACGGGGAGTAACTTATAAAGTAGGGGATGAAGTTTTAAAAAATTAAGCATTCACTTTCTTCAGCACCAGAAGATAAAACTGCCAAATTTTTTCCACGATTTGAAGGACCATATGTTATAGAAAAAAAAACTCACGCTGTTGTAGTGTTAAAAGCCAGAAATGGTGAAACCTGTTCCGCAAACATTGATCAAATCAAGCCCTACTTCGATCGTAATAAAATGCAAATCTTTTCAGATCTTTTGCAGGATCCGGCACGGCAGACACCGCAGGTACAAGCTCCAGAGGTGGAAAAAACGACAAGTACAAGGGCAAGCCAATGAAGAGACAGGAGCAAGTGAAAAGAAAATTGCCCCGCGAAAAAATTGAAGGTAACAAGAAAAAGAAGCCGTTCCACCGTCCAGAAAAGAGAGTTCACGAACACCCCCAGAATGAAGAAGGGAGAAGGACGACGTATGTGTGAAGAGAACCAGGAGAAATGACGGCAACTATAACCCGACCTTTAAAAACGGAAGATCTACTCATCCGACAGAACTCTCCGCAGCAAAGTCGCCGAACTGCGGAAGGGCCATCAGCGGCGGAGGAAAAGTTACAAGGAAAATTTGAACGGCCAACAACGAGGTCCAAGCAGGAACACGACAGAAGTTTCCCGGTTCCGCCAAGACCAGCTGCCATCAAACGGCCAAGACCACAAGCAGAGGAGAAAAAGAAGATATTCAAGAGTGGCCGAACTGGTGAAAAAAGGAAGCTTCCAGAGGAAAGCACTGAAGGGCGAGCCCGTACAAGAAGGAGGATAAATCAAACTACTATCTTCAGTACCTTTAAAGACTGGGCCCAGAAAAGGATGTCCGAATATTACAAAGATAAGTAAAATTTTATGTTACTTTGCAAACTTAAGTTAATCTTTCATTCTTACTGCAAGTGGCAGATTTCAAGAAGTTTTACCTCATGCGAGGTCTACCTTTATCGCCAAAAGAGCGAGAAATGAGTTGTGACCGATTTTCTTATTATGTTTCCAATTACTCGCGCGTAAAACTAAAGTTGATGTATAATAGCGTTGTGTAAAGACTTAAATATTGTAAAAAGTTATTGTATAATTATTATTTAAAACATTCTAGCAAGAGAGAAGTTTTAGTCTGAAAGACTTTTTGAAATGTATTATTTCAATGTAGAAAGAATTGGCACTTGCTTTGAAAAGAATAGAAGTTAACAAGGTACTACTAATGTATGTTTTCAAATGTGTAAAATTAACAGCATGGTGATATCTTCTTATATACAAATGTGAACTGTTATTTTAAATGTTAAGAAATACCGTGATATGGTAAAAGTGAAAGTAATGTTAAAAATTTGTTATTCGTGTGACTGTAAAGACTAAATCATGGCGAATATGTGTTAAAGGTTGAATGATGTAGTTAGGCTCTCTGACGCTACACTTTAGAGTTAGCCACTTTTAGAATAGTACCTCAGGGTTTAGAGTTGAAATTAGGGTGTGTTAAGAGGTCTCGTTATGTTGAATTTTAACACGTTAGTGTTTTGATTGTAGGAGGAAGTGTGGACACGTAGACAGAAACACATTCGTGTTTGGTGTTCTTTTACAACACATGTCAGAGAGCACGGGGAGAGATAATTAAAATAGTCATGAATGAAATAAGAATGTTAAGAGAAGTATAATTGTATATGTTTACTTTGCCATTTCATTGTGTAACATTTCATTAAACTAGTTTTCCTTCCAGATCTCTGGAAGGAACCAGAATGGAATAAAATTCCTGTTTAGATGCAGTACAGATGAAAAAAGATTGTTGTATATCCTGGGAGCTGCTATTGTAACAAATTTCTTTCTTTTAAATTTCTAGTTTCTAGCGAAGTGTGTTTGTAAAAGATTGGCCTCGCGTTAGATTCTAGAGCTAAAAGTTTTCAACAAGGTCGTTTTAGACCTCAGTTTCAAACTAATTAACTCTGGCGGGAAGTATGTAAGGATCTTAAGTTTTACTAACGTTTATTTTATTTTAAATCTTTACTATCACTTCTTATTTTCTACTTCCGGCCAGAATTATAAGCGTGAAGGTTTTTATGCAAAGGTTGTCTGGCGAACGCCAAGTATTTAAGTTGTGGCCTTTTGCCAAGCGACAGAGAGGAAGCAGTGAGTCAAAGCAGGCCGCTTATCTTAGAAGTTACGCAGTTGCTGTTTGCCTTCCAGGCCAGAGGTTTTAATCCTCTTGATAAATTAAACGTATTGTAGTGTTCACAGTCTCTGTGCTACATACGCTTCCTGTTATTATAAGGCCAATCTTCCACGTGTATTATTCTAAAGTTAAATTAGAGTTTAGTTTTATTTTTATACTTTTACGTTAGACCCCAAGTGGCGGGTCAGTGTATTCCGAAGCACGGAAGTTATTGTATATAGAGAAAAATAAAGGGTTTTGTATACCCTTCTTCTGTATCCTGTCTACTTACCACAATTAGTGAACATAGCTTTAGTAAGCTCTCTGTTCCGAGTCAGGTCCTTGTATGTTCCCGAAGAAGGTTAGAAGGAACATTGACCCTGATAACTATACAATTCAGTTCAAGAGTCAAACCATACAATTCAATTCAGTTCAATGTCGCAAAATAATTTTAAAATGAGCGTATCTTTTAGAATTTCCGATACACAGTTCCGCGCGCTGGAGATAAAAAGTTCCCCCCTCCCCGTAGACTGTTGCCATTGCTCGATTTTAAATCGTTGAGTTTGTTACTCAAAAATTCGTTAAAGTTTTACAAAATATGAAATCGATCTTAAAACAAATTCCAAATTTAAAATTTGGTCTTCCACATGCCTATAGTCGTAGGAGGATGATACGTCATGCAAAATTCGGATGAGCTCTATGTACCGTTGTTTTTATCACAATGCGAGAAATAGACATACATTTATGCAGAATTTTTCATTATTTAATTTTCTTCAAATATAATGCAAGACTCTGACAATTGGTGGTAACAGTTTGAAAAGTGAAGTTCGGACCGTTTATAGTGATTCAACGCAAAATCGCAAAACGAAAACAATAATCCTTCAGAGCAAGTTGCTTCTTTCGATTGAAAAAAAAAGGGGGGAAAAACCCTCTTTTTTTTTTTTTTTTTTTTTTTTTACATTTTAATTATATTATAATAAAAAAGAAAATCTGAAAGTTTTTAGATTTTAAATTACGTCCAAAGGAGCGTTTTTTTTAACATTTTGTGTGTTAGCTTTATTTATTAAATATCATGTTCTTTGCACTTAAACCATAAAATTCAATCCAAGAGCAATATCCTAAAATAATTTTAAAATTAGCATATCTTTAGAATTTTCGATACACAGTCTCGCGCGGTGGAGATAAAGAGATTTTTTCCCGTAACGTGTTGCCATTGTTCGCTTTGAAAACCCTGAGTTTGTTAATCAAAAATTCGTTAAAGTTTCACAAAATATGAAATCGATAATAAAACAAATTTCAAATTTCAAATTTGGGCTTCCATATGCCTATATTGGCAGGAGGATTACGTCATTTAAAATTGGATGGTTCTAGATACCGTTGCTTTATTATAATGCGAGAAACATACATACATTTATGCAGATTTTTCATTATTTAATTTCTTCAAATATATTGTAGGGCGAATAATATTTGGTAGCAACAGTCTGAAAAGTGAATGGGACATTCAAGGTGGTTCGACGCAAAATCTCAAAACGAAAACAATAGTCTCTCAGGGAGAAAGTCCCTTTAGACTACAAAAAAGAAGAGAGAGATTTCTAAACCTCTCGTTCTGTTCGACCGTTTGTTTAAACTTAATTTGCAATTTTCATGTCTCGAAAGCGTGACTTCGTTACACATTAGATTTATACATAGCATTGTTCTAATGTAGGTATTTATGTGTATAAAAATGTTTAGAATTTGGAATTTACCCCAAAACCATTTACTTTGCTTATGAAAATGGCGCCATTGTATGTTGAAACTGAAGAATTATTATGTGAGGGGTTGCCAGAGTTTGCGGCAATCTGAAAATTTGGCGACTTCTACTAAGGTGGTTGCACTAATATGTAAGTATCGACTATTTAACTATGCATAGGAGGGACAATAGAAAATTTATGCACCATTCCTGCTTCTTCAGCTACCCCGTCTCCATCAAAATCTGGACCCAACGTGCAAATTGTGACTTCTTCGAATTCTCTGCAAAAATCCTTATATTCCATCCAGAATTCTCCATCGTCCCTTCGTCTCCATTCCAGCTGATATTTCGTATGCAAATCCACTTCACTCCATCGAGAATCACTGAAGAAAGAAAAGATATTTGCTGGAGATCCAATTTACACAAATGATGCAAATTTTATATTAATTAAGCATTATATGATAATTCCTTGCCTCTGTAAAAGAATTCCGAGATTTACATATTAAAGATTCGTTGAAGGTTGTTTATTTTCACTGCTTTAATTTATTTCAAGGATGTACTATATAATTTATTCCATGAGATTTTGATGCAGACTAAAGGTGCATATAAGTATTACCCTGCATTTTGAAAAAATTATCAGGGCCTTTTCCTGTGTTTCCCAAAATCTGTTACAATTTTTGCCTTCAGTCTTTTTATTTTCTCTCCGGGGAAGGTGTCTACAGCATTATGTGCCCCTTTTGCAAACTAGTATTCTGGATACCCTACAAAAAATATTTTTATTAATGGCGAATCAATTTACATACATAGAAAGCATAGTGCCCGGCGGGTTATGATGGCTCTGCCTAAGCAGCTAGCGGTTATCCACAGAAATTATTTCAAACCTTACAGCCCTTAGGGATTATAGGTCTATTAAGCACAAGATAACTCATACGTATAAATTTAAGTAGATAAGATGTGTGAGATTAAAATCGAGTGCTTATCATTAAACTTGAAGAGAACTGGCTGCTTTCCTTTACTCTAAGATGCAAATGAAAAAAAAAAAAAAGCATTATAATTCTAATCTTTTACAAACACCAATGATCAGAATGAGTAGCTTATTTTTTTTTAAACACTTAACCGACCTCTCTTTTGTCAATTCTTTCACAGCTCTGAAACAAGCTCTAGTAGATTGAAGGTTAAGATTGCCATATTACTTTTAAACTTTCGCTCTACAGAATTACGCTGGAGTGAACACTTGTTCAATGTTAAAAAGAAACACACTTGCCGCATAACAGCGCTAACGAACTGTGTTCCATTATCACTGATTACCTTTCAAGAAGGCAATCTATATCGTAAGAAAACCTCTTCGATTAATGTAATTGTATTTTCCGTTGCAGCAGCACTGGGTACAGATAATAGTTTCACCTAATTTGTGTTGCAGTCTTCAAGGATAAAAATCCATGTTTTCCCATTGGTACCACTATACCAAATGAACCACTAAAAGTGGACGAAATAAACCAATAGCATATATTTCAAAGCATTGGTCATATAATTAATGTTTGGATCGACCCGGTTGGTTTCTGATTTGAGGGTTTGTAACATTTAAACTCATCACAAATTTTTTATGTAATCTACAACACAAGGTGTCCCGTAAATGTTGCGACAAACTTCTGGGAGAGGTAGAGCACATCATAAGGATTTAGAATTGCATAGGAACCCCTTGTACGCCGCCAGGGGGTGTTGTACAGGCGAGTGCTAGTGGAAAGTGAGGATTGCATCATTCGAGCCGTAGGCACCATACGAAAAGCATGGAACGCTATACGAACGGAGAGCTTGTGAACATGTGGTTCCAACATGATGGAGCGCTGCTTATTTTGAAATGGATGTTCGTAGCCATTTGAACAGATCATTCCCGCTTCGATGGATTGGGAGTGGTGGACTGGTTTCTTGTCGCTCACGCACAGTGGATTTATTGAGCCTTCATTTCTTTTTGTGGGGGGCCATCAAAAGTGTTGTGTATCACGATCCTGTTGTGTCTGACATGGATCTCGTGGCAAGACTCGCCTGCGGAGCTGCTACAATCAAAGAAACTCCCAGTGGGTTTGAACACGTCCGGTAATCAATGATCCGTCGGTGTCAGGCATGTTTGGTGTCTGATGGTGCAAACTTCGAGCTTCTGTTGTATCACTCAAGCTGTCGTACACCATTTGTATTCGTGTCCAATAAATGTTTCAAATTAATCCCTCTCTTGTTTCCTTTCTCATCTTCTACCTCTCCTACCACTTACCCCTGACATTTTCGGGCATGAGTTCCTACGCAATTCTTAATCCTTCTGATGTGCCTTATCTCCCCCAGAAGTTTGTCGCAACATTTACTGGACACCCTGTATATTTAGGTATTCCTGTAGAAGTAATACTTTTGGGCAATTCTGTGTTTTGTCTCTTCGGGACTATATTTTCCTGCTATAAGAGCATCATGATATTGCTTAATTTTTTTCTCGCTCATATAATGGTACTACTAGTTGAGCTTTCTTTGATTCAAATAGCGATTCGTTTCAACTTTGAAAAGAGCAACATCAACATGACTTTCTATCTCTCTTTGCATCACCTTTTGTTCCTGTTGGTTGATCAACTTGTAGTAGAATGTTCCTAATGCAGAAAGCACTTTTTTTGCCTTGAACAAAGATTTTGGTAAGTCAAAGACGAGAGCAATTATGGACATTCTCAGTTGCTTTGTTTTATGTTTTTCTTGGAGTTTTCTTGACTTTATGCTTTTCTTGGAGCTTTTCTTGGCAAATCAAAGCAGATCGCTCTTAGATAGTGAACCTGAGATCAAGGCAATTGTAGATCCTAATTGTAGATCATATTATTGATCATAATTGCTCTATGTATGATGAATAAAAAAACACTTTCTAGCTGCATTTACCTGAGCCACTGAAGCCCACTAATTTGCATAAAAGAGTGTTAATTTTAGATTTTGCTCTTCTTGCTTATTAACTGTTTGGCAGTATAAGAAGTAGAACTTTAATATAAAATTTACTATTATTAAATTCTTACCCAAAAATTAAGCATATAGTTAATTTATGAGGTAATATTTCAAATTATTATCTTACTTATCATTCCAAGAACCATTCCATTCCACATCATTTCCCCATGGATTTCGTATTCTTACCAAGTTTACTCTATTACCATCTTTCATTGGCACCTGCAAGACAAATGTAATTCGGATATTTTGGTTACCATGCGATTAAATCTTTTTAAGTAGCCAGTGAATACTTAATATACTCATCACTTCTACGAATTTGAAAGATTAAAAGGTGTCTCTGTTCTCTAAGCTGTAAATTAAAATAAAATATGCTCAAAAATAAGGAATCGTTAGCTGGAAATAAACTTTTTTATAAAATCAGATTGAAACATGAAATCAATATTATTTCTTTTAAAAGCTTCATTTTTTGATGAAAATTATATTATGGAACTGAAAAAAAGTGGATTTGAAAATTTATTCCTTATTCAGCAGCTGAAAACAATTTATGTTTATGGCCCTTAAACTAGAGAGAGATCAACCCACCAACTTAGCAACTTTAGAGAAAATTAAAATAATGAAAAAACGAACTTCATGTGTCATGTTGCTCCACAGAAGACTGAAACAATGGTACTTACTTATTATTAAGGCCACCTGTTTTAAATACCAAGTTAATGCCAATATTATAACTAAGTTCGTGCTCACTTTTGACATATACAAGGTGGGACAAAAAAAAAAAAAAAAAAAAAAAAAAAAAAAAAAAAAAAAAAGACTGGTCCAATAAATCATTGTACTTACTGAATCAATTCTCCGTGACCTTCAAAATAGTTCCTTTCAGCATTCACACACTTCTGTATTCAGTGCTGTCATTGCTGGTAACAGTTCTGGAATGAGGTTTTTGGAAGGCCCTTCAGGAGATTCTCCGTTTTTGTCTGAAGCTCTTCAACTGAGGTAAAATGGGTTCCCTTTAAGTAAGTTTTAACTTTAGAAAATTAAAAAGATCGCATGGAGCCAAATCAGGTGAATGAGAAGAATGCTCCATCACAGTAACGGTTTTGCTGGTCAAAAACTGCTTGACAGATAGGGCCGTGTGAGCGGGTGCATTGTCCTGGTGCGACAGCTATCCATCACTCCACAAGTATGTCCTTTTTTTTTCCTAATTTTTTTCACGAAGTCTTTTTAGTACTTCAATGTAGTTGTGTTGATTAGCAGTCTGATAACTAGGAACCCATTCAATGATGATGAAGGTGCTGTATGCCCAGTACGTTCATCATCTTCCACACTGTCCCTTTCTCCTGAAAACCGCTTATGCCATTCAAACACATGTGCACGAGACAAAGTTTCATCTCCATGAGCTTCGGTTAACATTTAAAATATTTCCTCAGAGGCTGATTTCTTATGTTTACATTTTTGTGGTTTTCCTCATGTGTAACCTATATACCAGCTCCTTTCCCTTAGAAAGACCTCCTCAAAAGCATCCCTTCCTTTAGGCAAGTAGCCCTCGAGTATTAAATAAACCAAACCAAAAACCAGTGGCAGCATTTTCGTAAAGATTGAGTTGTTTCTTCAAGCTTAATCGACGTCGTTTCCACTACCCAACAGTAACTGAATCGCAGTGCTATCGCAAAAAGTATTCTAAAATCCCTGAAGCAGTGTTCAAAAAGTTTGCTTTTCTTCCATTTCTAGCTTATCATGTTGCCTTTCGAAATGCTTTTACTGATATGTAGTTTTAATTGCCAGTCATTTTCGCTTATTCGGATGTCATTCTTAAAATGCGTCTTTTTTGGAAAAAAGATATAACATCTTCCAGACTTTTAGCTAAATCAGATATTTTGAAATTAAAAAAAGAAAAAAGAAAAAAAAATCTGAAATGTTTCAGATTTTAAATTACGTCCAAAGGGGCGTCTTTTAACATTTTTTGTGTTACCTTTCTTTATTAAATATCATGTTCCTCGCACTTAAACCATAAGATCCAGTGCAACAGCAATATCGCAAAATAGTTTTAAAACGAGCATATCTTTAGAATTTCCGATACAGAGACTCACGCGCTGGAGATAAAAATGTTTTTTCTGCATTCGTTGCCATTGCTCGCTTTGAAATCCTTGAGTTTTGTTAATCAAAAATTCGTCAATGTTTTAAAAAATAGGAAATCGATCATTAAACAAATTTCAAATTTCAAATTTGGTCTTCCACATGCTCATATTCGTTGGAGGATTACGTTATTCAAAATTCGATGACTCTATGTACCGTTGTTTTATCACAATACGAGAAATATACATACATTTACGCAGATTTTTCATTATTTAATTTCTTCAAATATAATGCAGGAATTTTAACATTTTGTGGCAACAGTTTGAAAAGTGAACCGACATTTATGAGTCCGACGCAAAATGCCAAAACGAAACTAATAGTCCTTCGGGATTCAAATCCCTTTGGACTAAAAACACATTTAATAGTGGAATATTCAGAGAGCTTCTCAGACAGAATTATGACTCAAAATTTTCAGAATGAATATTCTCAGAGAGACAACAGACAGACTTATGGCTGATCGTGATGGAGGAAAAAAAGAAACATGATACTATACGGTTCAATCTGAATTCTTCTCATTCAGCAAACTATAGATCATCGTCATTTGGAATATGATCATTTGAAGATGGCTTGTATTGGCGATTTATCGATAACCTAACCTTTTAACGAAGTACCGATATAATTATATGCATAAAATCCTTTCTTGATCAATAGAGAAATATAGCAAAATAATAATAATACTCCAAACTTGATTCTCGAAGTTGATCATATTGAATTAGGTTGTTTCTGTTGTAAAGGACTGCCAACGGGCAAGCTGTAAAATCTTTGAACAGCAGTGATAGGATTCCTATTGAAATTCCAGTGAAAGGGATGGCTGCATGAAAATTTTTGTTTTTCCCTTGTATAAGGCGAGCCCACCAGCGGTCGAGCGGTAAAGTCGCTGAACACTGGTAGTTCGGTCCGAGTTTCGAATCCCGCGAACGGGCTGGCTGCATGGGTGGTTTCGTGGTTTTCCCCATGTGTAACGTGTATGCGAGCCAGTTTCCCTTAGAAAGTCCTTCACAAAGGCATCCCTCCTCTTAGGCAGATAGCTTTAGTGGGCTTTGCCGTAATTAAATACACCACCACACATCGGAGAAACCACGATGTGTAACGATGAGACATGTTTCGTAGTTTTTTTATGTGATTGAAGCTTCCTCAGAAAGTCTACGAAAGCATCCCTTCCTTTTAGGTAGATAGCCCTCATATGCTTTGCCATGACTCAAATAATCTAATTTACTGATTTTAAAAACTAAACTAGCCGTTTCTTGCACTGCTATGAATATTTTATGTCTGCTGGCACAATAATAAGTGCCTCCTTCAAGTACTAAATTATTCAAATGAAATATCCATAATATTATATTGTGAATTTTGGAAATCTGAATCAACAGGTTCAGAAATAGCCAGGTTTGATTGCTTTTAAATCAATGATAAATGCCGTGTTATGGATGCAAAAATCAGCCGCTAGTCAATAATGATGTACTAATATTTTACTGAGTTTAACAACAGTGACTTGTTAACAACGGCAATGTGTCTCATTTCTTGAAAAATCACGAAATCATTTTCACTCGTCATTGGAGAAGTTCATCACCCATAATTCCTTTTTCTGTATATTTAAAAGCTACGTAAATTAGTTGTATGATTTGTCATTGCTATTCATATGTACAGTATACATGTTTGATATACACAGCCCTCCAAAAGTTAAGGAAACAGAATGTTTTTCAAAGCTCACCATTACAAACATATAAGTACCATTTAAAATCACAGTTTATATGTATGATAGTAATGAAGTTTAAGAAAATATGCACAAAACAATAGCTACAAAACCTAGCTTTATTTTATAGAAATGAATATTTATATGGGAGTTAGGAGGGGAAAAAGGCAAAAATTGTGCCTTTCGTACATGAGCGTTGATCTTCAATTGTTACTAGCAGTTTCGTTGACAATATCCAGGACTGTCTATCAATGTCCAGGAGAAGTCGTTTGCCCAATCCGTTGAGGTGGCAGTCGATCGAATAGATAGAAATGGGGATGTCACAAGCTGATACTGCTATATGTCTCAATGTCTCTCGTTGTGACTGATTCCGCGAATTCTATGTGTAGGAGACATGTTCCAGGAAGCCGAAAGTTACAACACCTGCAGAAGACCGTCACTTGGCTCTTTCGTCCCGAAGAAGGAGCAACATTACTATGCCTCATCTCATGGCAGTTCTTTTAGTAGCAACAGGAGCAAGAATCTCAGCTACTACAACGAGCAGCACAGTACAGGTCTGCATGCAAAACGACCAGTCGTTTGAGTCCCCTTGACCCGAGGGCACAGAGGTGCCCGGTTATGCTGGGCAAAAGGACATGTTTCCTGGACCAGTCAACAATGGACGTTCTGTTTTCTTCACATACGAGTCCAGGTTCACACTGGAGAGTGATTCAGTTCGTCAGCTGATCTGGAAGGAACAACGCACCAGATACAACCAATGTTTGCCCATAACACCAATGGCAAGTGTTAGTTTGACATTATTCCTAAGAAAACGTCTTGATCATTTAGCCCATCCTTTTTTTAATGAAAAGCATTATCTCAGTGGTTATTCGTGTGAGCATTTCCGCCTTTATTTTCTAAAAAAAATGGTATTTGCGTCATAAATACCCTCTTATAAAAATGAAAAATCATATTACGTTTTAATGATAGGAGTGATACGTTTTGATTCAGACTATTAGGAACATTAATCTCCTTTCTCTTTCAATATTCTAAATAATCCAATTTTCGGTTTTCTCGGTAAGGTTTCAGTTCATGGTTTCTACTATCAGAGATTCCTGGTATGGAAAATGTGTAACAGCTTTACAATTTAATTACTTTTGTGAATAGAGTAAGTTTCAAAGAAGCGATTTTATCATTACCAAGTAAATATGTAAACAGTATTTAAAAAGTGTTTATAAACATAAAATATTTAAAGCTCTGAGAAAAATAATCACATTAAGATCAAAATTCGTAACATTCTAAAACATTTTGTCATCGTGAACGAGGTACCTAACAGTAATCATTTTTAAACAAACTATAATCGCATTTAACGAAATCTTGTAGTAATACATAAAAAATAAATGGCAAAAATCAAACGTCTCGTAGCATTCTAAAATTTATTAATTCTAAAATTTAATCTTGTAGCATTTATCGTTTGTTGAAGCAATTCACCCTTCTAAAGATAACTGAAGACATATAAACAAACTAACTAGTAATAATACAGTTTTAAATAAATTATTTTAAATATTAAACTTGTAATTTTCTGAAAATTTATCTTGTAATATTTTACCATGTACTCACAATTACATTTACATTACATTACATTATAGTTATAATAATACATAAATAGTCAAAAGCCTCGGAACTTATTCTCAGTTAATTATTAAGAAAGGTAACACGCTTATTAAACGATTTCTGTTCATAAAAGTAATGAAGTATTAAGGTTATATATTGAATTCAGAGGATTTATATAATTTTTTCAACGAAAATTTCATGATCAGGTATTATTATAACGTTTCATAATTGAACTGTATTTATGGCATTAAGAATTTCCTTAATTATAGTCATAAACTACTCAGAACGGAAGGTATAACATAAATCCATCACGATTAACTTCAATCTTAAAAAACAAATCATAGTCCAAAAGAATTTTTTTAACGTTGAGAAATTTCCATCATTTTTCATTACTATTCTTGCGCAGTTTACTGTAATCACACAATTTTTTTCCTTCTACGTATATTACTTCACATGAAGTGAATGAATGGATGAATAAAAAAAAAAAAAAAAAAAAAAAAAAAAAGAAAAGAAAAGAAAAAGAATTCTTTTTACCTTGGCCACGGCTGTGACAGTGTAGGCGTGTCCAGATACTAGGCCATTTGGGTCGGCTGCATTGGCCATTTGCCAATCTCCCTGCGTGAAGCACAGGAATAGGAAAAAAAGAAAAATATGATAATAGTACAATTAATTTCATTGAATTATTAATCAAAAAAGAAAGAAAAATACTCATGAATTCCCGGTATCATTGAAAGCTTCTGCACTAATTGGCCCATAAGAATTTAAATTTCGGGTTAGTGTTTAAACAGTTTTCTTTAAATTTCGGTTTAGTGTTCGAGTTCTCGTTTAAATTTCGAGTTAGTGTTTTAATTAATAAATTAAATCATAACAAAATCTAAACTTTTCTCACTTCTCTTTACATGGGAATTCACTTGTGGTACTGCTAATAATGAGCGATATATTTTCTCTAAATATTTGCCTCTATACAGGACTTTTACCGCTCGGCGCTGTGCATCAAACATTCTGCCGCCCTGTGCGGTCCATCGGTTGCACATGCTCTGGTTACTGGCTGGCCTTGAGATTTCTCTACAACTCGGTCTCCCATGTCACGGTTTTCGATAAATGTATTGTTGCCAGATGCGGTATGATAGCTTCCTCGGAAAACGAGATTAGGATTATAAGAAAGTGGCAAGGAAAGACAGGGTTGTCAGATTTGGCGCGAAATCGCCATTTGGCGAAATAATTGGCGATATACCATACACGGAGCGAGAACATTCTAGAACGAATTCTTAACGGTTTTCTCGAGAATGTTCTCGAAAGCAGATCAAAAGCTATACACACCCTGCCCGTACGCGGAATAGGGGAGAATCTACAATATGTTGAGTTCAGTAGTAGTAGCTTCAGGAGGAGTTAGTTAATTAGTTAGTTCTAAGCACTAGCCCCCAGCCCACCTAGCAGGCGAAGCATAGAAGGTGGCTCATATGGCTATGAGAGAACAGGCCAATCCACTAACGAACAATTCCTAAATAACGGAACATAACAAACTTAATAAACATCTGATGATAGGTTGCAAAGCTAATGCAAACACCAGATCATACAGTCACATAAATGATCATCTGATCATATAAAATGAACATAAGAAACTCAAAACAAAAAACGGGTTGTAAAAGAAATAAAATCATAACACGTAAAATAAATATATACATCTCAAACACTCTCGGTGAAAACCGTATATAGAGGTATCGTTTCCATTCATATGTAATTTCCTAAGTTTTAAACTTTTCATAAATTTTACTTTCAATTATTATTTTTCAACTTATCAAAATTCATCTTAAATTTATAAGTTTCCTTCCATCATATGTATTTTCAATGTGATTTTCTGTTTTGTTATATCTCGATACCAATATTCTTCTTATGCTCATTTACAATTTGCATAATATCACTTGCAAATTTCCTAAACGATTTATAGTTACTATAAATCTTCAAACTTTGTAAATTTATGTTTTCCTTTCATACTTCGAGTCAGGCAACAGTCTTCGACAAAGTGCTTTGAATCGCCTAATTTATTACAAACTTTACATACAAGTATCATTGTATATCATTTCCTTGGAAATGGAATCTTTTTAAGTAAGCAGGGAATCTTCCATGTGCAGCGAGAATTTGACTGACATCTACATTTCTTAAAATTCGCATTTTTTTTCCTTGATAATTTTTAAGAAACTTAGATAATGTTTGCTACTTTTGGAGAGATCCTACAGATTTTCCCAGTCTTTTGTAGAGTTCCTCACTTTGTAATTCTAAGTTACTGTTGGAAGTGAAGAATCTTAAGAACTGATAAGCGAATAATCGCAGAGTTCGTGTGACAAGAAACAACAAGATAGAAGAGTAAACTAACCCTTTATTATTCCAACTAAATTTTAACAAAACTCCATCTTGGAGTGTATAATAAAGCCGACGCTTGAGCTTGAACTTAAGATACTAAGAATTAAACTAAACTTATCTTAACTAGAGATATAGCCGAAGCTATCAAAAATTCTAACAGAGTTGGCCCCTTAACGTTAATAGACTGCGAAGCTATCAAGGGCCTAAAGTACGGCTAAGCGTGATAATAGCTTACGAGAGAATAGCCTAAAAAGGCGTACGCGTGCAGCCAGAATACATGGTATCTCTCTCGCTAAGACTGAAGAACTTCGCGGTTAAATACAGCTCTTCCTCATTATGTATTCAGACGTGATTCTAAAACTACGTTCTGGCCGGAAGTGGTAAGTTGAAGTTAAGAATCGATAGGAAAAGAAAATTTAACTCAAAATTTTACTGTTAATAAAATTAACATAATTCTTGCACTTTAATAAGCTTGTTTTTTACTATAGTACATGTATTTTTTTTTTTTTTTCCGAATCTTGAACAGAAATCTTTTCGGTTCCAAACCCCAGGGCGCCTTCTTTTGCTAGTGTGTCCGCTGTCTCATTCCCATAATAACCAGCGTGAGCTTTGATCTAATGTAAATTAAAAATATGCTTTTTTCGTAGTTCTAAATAAATCTGTTTGATTTCATTAACAATTTTATTCTTTTGAGAAAGACGGGAGGGCGTCATAAGTGCAGATAAGGCATCTGAGTATAAATTAATGTAATAACCCACGGATGGTTTGTCGAGATATTCTTAGTATTTTATGCTTCTCGAAATTACTCGAGAGCAATATGAGGGTCGTATTATGATTACAGCTAACAAAGCGGTGAATTACATTTATTAAATTTCAATACCTATTATGATAATAATACAGGGACCGGACCAAAATCTAGCCAAATTTGGCGACTTTTAGTGGTTTTTCCCAAGTTTATCGACAAAATAAGTCCCAAACCGTCGTCAGCTTGGCTATATCTCGCCAAATTACCGAAATACCCATATACTCAATGCTAAATGGACTTGCCCCTGTATTCTTACTTTTCTGGCAAAGCTTCTCTCTTGAGCTCTATTTGGCGCTACATTGCACAGAAAAATACAATAGTTTCGCATATAATTCCATAAAAATTGCCTAAGTACAAAAGTCGTAAAAATACAACCAGAAGTGACTAATTGTTTTTGTTTGTTTGTTTTTAGATTAAGTAATAACTATAGAATTTGTTTACTTAATTGTAAATATTTCTTAATAGAACTAACGGATAAATTTTAAAGATTTTCTGGCGTTATTACCCAGCCTTTATTTTAACTACAAAGATATGCAATTTCATACAGTTATTACTCCCAAGGAAATCAAAAATCGCGATAACAGATAAATACTTTCGATACATTAAATTTCGATAAATTTTTATATAACGGCTACCCTTCAAAAATAAGTACTATTATCGTGATTCATTATGATAGGAATCTACTAAAGGAGAATATTATTAAAAAGAAATTTACAATCCTACATTAGTTTCACCTATGCATACCATTCCTAAGTGCCTTTGTCGATCTGGAAATTAATACTGCAAAGAATGTTAATTAGAAAACTAATCTCAGGAAAATTTGCTTTCCGGTTTCCTCCGTGTCTGCAAAAAATACATGTCAAAACGTTACTACTCGTATTTTTCAAACCCTTTTGAATGCCTAGGTATTAAACTAAGACGAAAAAGTAAAATAATTTCTTTGTTTAATTTTCCAAATGCATGCGATAAGAACAATTTGTGTTACGAGATCCTTCCGGCCAACACGTGTATTGCCCGAAACTCTGACAAGAACCTGTTTAAACATGCATTTTCGCTTTATTCCCAGCGTCATCGGACAAAGCATTTGCCACAACTCCAAAGGCGTGGTCCTCTCGCAAGCGGCGTATCTCATCTGCATTCAGTAATAAAACATGACCAAGGTTGCATCGCTTCGTAAGTAGAATAGAACGGCGGTTACAGCTTATCGTTTAGAGGTTTATTTATTATTTAACAGAAGTAGCAGGAGGTCAGATCTATTCGGTTGGATATTTAGAGGATTGCAGGCAATTCGTTAAGGGAGTAGTTTCATCACGGTATTCGACGATATACTCCCATCAGCTTCTGTATGAAGTGCAGTTATTTTGCAGAAGGAGTGTTCAATGGCATTTTATTCTGCTGCTGAGTATTACCACAACGCAAGTCACATACTTAGTTTCTCATTTTATTACGCACCTGCATTTTGGGTGGCTAATCATTGGCTGATTAACATTTATATGCTAGTTAATCTTGAAAGTGTATTTTTCTATTACATTGTTCATTAAATAATTATTATCTTAGGTATTCTTTTGATTGTTTCAGGTTTTTAGAAAAATTATTTCGAAACGCATAAAAAAATGATCAAAAGATTTTCTCCGGAAGCTATAATGTTACTGTTTAACTCTGATCATTCAAATTTGCAGTAAAACGAAAGCTTCGAAAAATGATTGCAGTGAAATGGCTGCAAGGAATGGGTACTGCTAACAATTTTGCATATTTTGTGAAAAATAAGCTTCACTGATATTTTTTGCTAAAGAAACACAGATGATTAGCTGAAAATAATCTTCTGGTGAAAACTGCTTATAACTATTATTCGTAGAAGTTTGTTGGCATGAAATAAAACGTAGGATGCGTACAGCCGTACAGTTTAATGTTTGAGCTTTAATTTCAGGGTTTGTATCAGTAAAGACATCTATAAAGACTGTTGATCCATTCTTTACTCGGAAGAATGTAAATTCAGAACTTTGCCTAGTCGTATTGCAACATGATGTTTTGCCTACCGTATGCAAAATGTCATTTCGTTTGTGTGCAATTGTGGCACAGGCTTGCAAGCGGAACTGAACTTATGCCATAGGATAATCTTCCATGCTACTATACTAAGGACTATAATTCCATCCATAAATCTTACTTTGCATCAACTGTAAGGCTGTATTGGGTAGTTTCTGAGAAATCTTTGGAAATACTCTGAACTTAGGTTCAGGTTATTTCCGAACATAATGCTATAACTGAATACGGATTACACATTTTATCATTTTATCATTAGTAGTGTGAAACGGGGAGTTCAGCGACAGGAGGCGGTGCGCGGTGCAAGCTCCCAGGCAGATTGCGAAAGCAGATTGCGAAGGCGGATTGCGGATGAGCCAGCACCCGGAGGCGCAGTAGATAAGGAGTGTGTCAAGATTCTTCATTTAAC